GGTTGACCTGCATATAAGAATCGGGATTCCTCGAGAGCGTTTGAGCCTCTCTCAGCATGCCTACCTGAAGGAGATCCGTGGAATCTGTCCTACATACAATTGTCAAAGACATAGAGGAGTCTCTTAAGAACAAAGGCTTTGCAGTAGATGCTTCGGAAGAAAGTTTCGACTTCCTGCCGCGAGAAATGGACCGGAGTCTTCCGAGGCTGGCCCCATGCACATCCTTCTAAAGGACGAATTGGAGAATGATAGTCTCTGTAGTAAAGGTCCAAAAAACATCTTAACGGACGGATCGAAGCTGGACGGGAGAGTTACAGGAGGTGTCTACTCTCAGGAAGTCTCAGTAGATCTTATGTTCAGACTGCCAGATCTCCGCAGCATCTTTCCGGCCGAGGTAGCCGCTGTAAATGAGGCAGCCCATTGGCTAGGCAGGTATTGTCGACTAGGAGGGAAAATATCTACACCGTTAGCTAGGCGGAAATTAGCGCGCTGGGATCGTTAATGGTCCGATAAAAACGGGTCGGAAAATATCTGACCTCTCTCTCTCAACAGCCCCGAAATACTTCCAAATCAAGCTGATTTTGGGTCCCAGGGCATAGTGATATTAGTGGAAATTGCGGGCCTGATGAATTGGCCAGGCAGGGCACCCTCGAGGGCAACCCCTCGTACAGTCGACTCAGTGAGCGTTGGACGGAAACCTCGACATGCAAAGTTGCAAAGGCCTTCTGGCCGGTTCATGACCGCTTAAGGTTAAGGAGGCTCCTACAACTAGCTAAGCGTCAGCACTCGATTCTTAAAGATGAACTGAGCGGACATTGTCCTTCCGTGACCAACACAATGCGACTCAATGTCGTCACGGATCCCTACTGCCACAGGTGTCCGGGAGACGAGGAGAAATCATCTCAGCACTTCCTCCTCATTAACTTTAATGGCAAGAGTTCTTATTCGGTTTGTGATACCGTTGAACTTTTCGCTAAGTGTTTTAAATCTAATTCTGTTATTGATGCTATCTTTAAGATAACTTTGTGCTAATGCAGGGGAAACCAGTTCCCACTAGTTTGCGGTCATCGGTCATCAAAAGTAGTTAGTTACGGCCAAAGGAAATAGCTAATAAATAGTTGCTACTAGTCGACTGCTAATAGCTAATACTTAGCTACAAACTAGTCCCATTCCTGCAGGTTATCGATTCGCTAACATGGAAAAACCAAAAATTACGCTGTTTGAAAAACGTATTTGCTATTTACATCGCTAATAACCCTTCCGCCATTACCGATTTTCTAGTCACCTTCCACTTACCTCCATATGATTTGGCGTATATCGCATCGGCATAGCTGGCACATGTTTACTGCCATCGTAACTGGGCGGACTT